TTGTGAGTGCCCTGTTGTAAATCCAAGATACAGTAGCTTTAGTAGATGCGACAGTCATAATGCGTTTGCGGTATCAACAACACTTGCGCGTAAAACGATCGAGTGTAAAATTTTTAGTTTGACTTCTAGATTTTTCGAAGCTCTGATGTTTTCGCCTAAGCAAAAGCACACTCTATGGAATTTCGATGTGAATTTCTCAAAGTAATTTTATTCTAAAGTCTTGCAAACATTGAAATAAACCAAACTCCAGTCGCTTTAATTGAAGTAGGTTTTTGTGTAACCTTGCTCTCAAGAGATAACGAAGTCAATCGAACACATGATAAGTGAAAAGATAAAGCCTCGTGAGCACTTTTTACATGTGATAACCGAGACTCGAGGGCTGCGCGAATCCGCTTTGCTGTTGACTGAGTGCGATAAGTGTGCAACACACTGATTGTATTGTCTTTTGGTGTCAACTTTGTGGAAGCAGAGCTGAGCCGAAAATACTTCGGATCGCAATCAGGGCGGTGTACGGAGATTTCGAAAAACCACTAGATTCCCAGTCAGCTATCTTTGATCTGACTTCTGGTACACGAACTCCAGATTGATATATTTTATCCAAAAAATACTCTACAATCTGTTTTTCTTGCCATTCAACCTGTAGGGCGCTCAGTTCCAGCTGCGCATCATTCAGTTTCATAATGACTTCTATTCTACGTTCGAGTAAATCAATCCTCAAAACTTGCGTCTCTCAAATTTCTTTGTCCATGTCCTCATGTCGAGATTGTTCTATGTTGTCCTGTCCATGTATTTGTCCACATGTGATGTGTTTTAGTCAAAGTCGAGGATTCTCCAAGAAGAGAGAACGTCAGAGGAGGTTCTTAATCAAGAACAGGTTGTGACCCTCTTATTGTCCAAGTCTTATATGTGTTCAAATGTGCCTATGTGTATTTCCAGCAGATGAGTTCGCAGAAGGTGTCAACTGGTCCGAGGAAGGGTCGTCCCAGCCCGATTCCGCCTCAGTTGAGGGATGATCTCAGTCAAAGTAGTCTTCTGAGCAAAAGCTCTCTTGAAAGGAGCGATTCAATGTCGAGTATCGCGTCCATAGAGATGGACAAGGACTCTAAGGGAGACGCCAAGAAGGTGAAAAAAGTGACGAAGAAAAAGAAGAGCACCATAAAGGATAGCAAGGAGAATGGAAAAGCCGAAAATGGCAAGGACAGCACCACGACCGTGAAGAAGAAAGTGAAGTCGACCACAGAGGTCAAGACAGAGCAGGTCGAAGATGCCAGCTCGTTACGGTCGCGGCTCAAACCATCTCCGAAGAAGGAACCAGCGAAGGAGGAGACCAAGCCCAAAGCCGACGATGGCAAAGCCGAAGCAACGATCACCCCACTGAAGAAGCTGCGGCCAGCCCCGGGCAAAAATACCGGGGATCCCAGCAAACCGGCTAAACCTCCTCCCAGCACAGCTGACGATGTACGTTTTTTCTATAAAGGTGCCATTCGCCTTTTTTCAATTTGCAATGCATTTTCATAACTAGAGTAAAACTCATGAGTGGTTTCGAGCCGCGTACACAACACTACAAAAGACTACAATTTTCTAATCATTTTCTCCTCCTGTTTGAATCAACCACACTCCCACAAGTTCAACACTTTCCCATTCTCCCAATCTAAAATCTTCGTTTACCTCTGCACACCTCACGAAACTCTAAAAATATTTTCCTTTTTGTACCATATTACATTTCGCAATATGCTGTCAACCAGATAATAGAGATTCACCACTTTTCGACGGTACTAGGATCGGTGTTATAAATTTTTGTTGCATGTTCCCGTCCTTTCTGTCCGTGTCCGTGTTGAGTGCTACACCCCTCCTTCATTTTTATGTTCCACAAATTTTCGTTCCTTTTTATTTCCCCCCATTTGAGCTCCCCCTGTTCATCCTCGTGCACCTCTGTTCA